TTCTCCTCCTCCTCCTCCTTCTCCTCCTCCTCCTCTAACTGCTCCTCCCTCCTCCTCCTCCTCCTCTTCATCCTCCTCTTCATCCTCCTCCTGCTCCTCCTCCTCCTCCTCTTCCTCCTCCTCTTCTTCCTCCTCCTCCGCCTCCTCCCATCCCGCCTTTTCCTCCTCCCGCTGCAGCGCCAACCCAGATCCCCGAAGATCTGATGTTTCAATCCAGGCGTTTATCCTCGATTTCGGCCTCCGTGGGTCGCAGAAGGCCACGCTGGTACGATGCGCCCTACTCGGAGGCGCCCGTCCGAACCGAACATGTAGCACGACCATCTTTTAGTATATATCGTTTCCCGAGCGGTACGGCCAGAAAGCGCCCGCCGGGGAGCTCGAACTGTACGATTGCTCCTCGCGCGAGTCGACCTTGAGGGGGCGACGCACACATGGTATTGGTATGTTGGGGTGGCGCCGACTCCAGGTCCCATATTACCGGGCCCCCAGAACGGATCCAGGACGCAAAAAAGCGGCCCCTGGGGAAGGGAGCGGGAGCCCTGGGGCCGCGGATTGGAAGAATCACATCGGAGGGTGTCTGGGCTCCTCCACCTTTGTCTCCCCTGACCTCTTCGCGTCGTGGCAAAAATTACGGCGGGCAGTTCTTGGCCACTGTCGGCCTCCACGAGCCCTCACCAAGCTGCGAGGCTTTCCCAAAGCGCCTCAGGATGAAACGTCGGTCGCTGGAAAGGGGTCCAGACCTCTGGAAAGCACAACGTGAACAACAAAACACAGCGTCAAATATATGGGTCTCCCTCGAATCGGAAATTCTGGCCCCTGCAGGCCTCCAGAGGCCTCCGGGGACCTGGTGGGACCTCTGGAAGCCTCCTCCTCCTTCTCCTCCTCCTCCTCCTCGTCTTTATCCTTCTCTGCCTCCGCTTCCTCCTCCATCGCCACATTCCTCGTCCTCCACCTCCACCACCTCCTCCTCCTCCTCCTCCTCCTCCTCCTCCTTCTCCTCCTCACCATCAGCAGCAGCATCATCACCCCACCACCATCAGCACCACCACCGCCACCACCATCATCATCACCATCATCAACATCAGCAGCAGCATCATCATCATCATCATCATCATCATCATCATCATCATCATCATCATCATCATCATCATCATCATCATCATCATCATCATCATCATCATCATCATCATCATCATCATCATCATCATCATCATCATCATCATCATCATCATCATCATCATCATCATCATCATCATCATCATCATCATCATCAGCATCATCATCCGTATCATCGGCATCATCATCATCATCAGCAGCAGTATCAGCATCATCCTCATCCTCATCCTCATCCTCATCATCATCATCATCATCATCATCATCATCGTCATCGTCATCATCTCCATCATCATCAGCATCATCATCATCATCATCATCAGCGTCATCATCGTCGTCATCAGCAGCATCAGCAGCATCACCACCACCATCATTATCATCCTCATCATCATCATCATCGGCATCATCAGCATCATCAACATCAGCATAGTCATCATCAGCATCATCATTAGCAGCAGCAGCAGCAGCATCATCCTCATCCTCATCATCATCCGCAGCATGTGAATCGCGGTCGTCGTCGTCATAATCATCATCATCATCATCATCATCACCACCACCATCATCATCATCATCACCACCATCATCATCAGCATCATCACCATCATCATTCAAAAAAGCAGCATCATACTACCATCATCATAATCATCCTTACCATCGTCGTCACCGTCATCGTAATCGTCAATATCATGATCATCACCATCCTCATCAACACCAACAACATCATCACCATCAGCAGCAGCAAAATAATCATCATTGTCATCACCAGCATCAGCAGCATCATCAGCAGCATCCTCAGCATTATCGCCATCAGCAGCATCAGCATCATCGCCATCGCCGTCGCCATCGTTGTCGTTATCGTCGTCATCCTCACAATCATCACCATCGTCATCATAATCATCCTCCTCATCATCATCAGCATCGTCATCTCCATCGGTATCAGCATGGTCATCATCAGCATCATCGCCATCACCATCACCCTCATCATCAGTATTGTCATCATCATGATTATTATCATCGGCATCGTCGTCCTCATCCTCGTCATCCTCCTCATCATCATCAGCATCAGCATCCCGATCCTCCTCTCCTTCAGGACCACCCCACTAACCATTTATACACACGACGACGTTCCTCCCTCCCCTGATTTCGTCTGGAAGACACTCGGCCCTCTCCCCGTGCTTGTGTTTATCTACAAGCTTTCAAAAGTAGCTATCCGATTGTTTTCGGTGCTTCAAGGTGGTGTTCCCGCTGCAACGTGGGCCTCGTTTTCGGATCGGCGCTTTGCTCCCGTCGTTCAGAATGGCGCTCTCGACCAAGCGCGGGCAATTTTTCTGCATTCGAATATTGCTTGATCGTTGTCGCCCCCGCATTTCCCCTCCTCCGCCTTTCCCTGGTCCTCCTGTTCCTCCCGCTCCTTCCGCTCCACTCCCTGGTGCTGCTACTCGTCCTCATCCTTTTCCTCCCGCCCATCCTCCTGTTCACCCGCCACCTCCTCCTCCTGTGCACGCAGCTCCTCTTTTCCGCTTGTGTGCATCTTTTTGCTGGAGTGGCAGGTCGGCTATGACACGCATCCGCGGATACAGGAAAAATCAGCGCCGCAGTGTGAAGGGATGGGAGAGAGGGATAGGACCTAGACTGTCTCTCTCCCCCTCGCCCTTCCTCAACCCTGCAACTCCTCCTCATTCCTCTCCCCGTCCTCAGCTTCCGCCTCCAATTGCTCCACCAACCTCTTTCGTGCGTCCTTCGCCGCACCGACGCCCGCACCACCCTTCTGGTCCACCCTGTGGCCACCTGCCAGTGGTTACGGTGTGCCTCAGAGAGCGTGGCGGCAGCAGTCTGTGACGGCTGCGTTTCTCCACGTTCGCGTCCAGGCCGACTCCCACACGCTAGGGGGGGGGGCAACAACACACCGGGGCGTTCCAGACAGGGCCAACGAAACTACTGACACCCCTTCCTCTGCGGAGGACGGCGGAAGGCTGGTGATAGAAGTAAATCGAGGCCTCCCCGCCAGCGGAAGTAAAAATCGCCCTCCCCCCCTAACAAGGCAACTTTGGGGGGTCAGAGATTCTGGGGTCGGCGCCATGCTCCGCGCCTTGGGTGGAAACTGCTGAGAGCCTTCGCCCTCGTGGGCACGAATAGGAACTATCAGGCAGGATGGAGGGGCACTTTAGACTGACTGAGCCAGCCACGGATTCAGCTACATTGCGCCCGACTCGGGCGAAATGGACTAGGCATGATTAAACTGGACTAGCGCAGATGATATACCCGGGCCAACGACTGATCCAACCTCCCGAGGGTAGCGACCCAAAGCAACGATGCGCCCCCCCGCCAGGAAAGACGCTTCACGACAGGTTCGTATCGTGACGACTTGCGCGCTGGTTTCTGACACCGCGTGGATCGCTCAACACTGAACGATGTTGGCTTTCCGATGGCGCACGTCGATCTATATCGACCGATGCTGGGCTACTGGCGGCGTTCAACCTTGAACGCCCGTGCTGGGACCTTCCTGCACCCCTGGCGGCGCCTCAGGCGCCGCTCCAGGCGCGCTGGGGAGGGAATGCGGGGAGGGGTTAGGAAGCAACTCCTGGGAGGGCGTCTTAAGAACGACTCTAGGTTGGTAAACCCGATTGAGGGGGGTCTCTAAGCCCGATCAGCCCAGAATACGTCCAAGAATGAAACTGGATTAAACTGGAGTACGCGGGAAAGTAAATACTTAACAAGGATAGAGTTCTACCGCGGATTTACACGCGGCGATGCTTGAATGTAACGTCCCAGGAGCTGCATCCTGAGAGGGTGTCCAGTGCCGATGGAAGAAAACCGGGAGGATCTCCGAGAAGGCATGTGAACTTCGCCTATCCGAGCTGCATTGCACACCGCTTCAGACTTAAAGCCGTTCTCAAGGGCAGACCCCCGCGTCCAGAGGCATTCCAGAGGAGGAGGAGGAGGAGGAGGAGGAGGAGGAGGAGGAGGAGGGGGAGGAGGAGGAGGAGGAGGAGGAGGAGGAGGAGGAGGAGGGGGAGGAGGAGGAGGAGGAGGAGGAGGAGGAGGAGGAGGAGGAGGAGGAGGAGGAGGCGACAGGCTCCCAGGAAGGCAGTTGGGAACAGAATGCCTCCAAGGTCGCCCAGGGTGGCCAAGAGACGAACCAAGACAGTCCAAGCTGGCTTCCAAGAGCGCCACAGTGACCCCATCTGGCCAGAAGCGGCGTCCAGGGCGGCCCTAAGACGGCTCCCCAAGAGGCGCGAATGTTGCCCTGGAGCTGTCCTTCTGTCTTCGCCCTGCCAGGTCCCAAGTGGGCCCTGAGAGGAGCGCCGAGGCGCTGGTCCTCAAGAAGGCCAGTAAACATGCTGTGGCTAATATGTCTCGTGGTGCTGCAACACACGTTGTGAAACCAGGCTTTGCCTGACGGGTCCTTGCCCAGTGCAAGACAGCCAATGATAATGGCATCTCCAGGTCGGGTCGCATGGGGATGCCCCTCCGACTCCTCGGGGTTCCCCCCCATCCCAGCGGACCCCCTAAGAAGCGGCGAGACGCAGTGCTAATGCAACGCTATATAACAACATGCAAATCACGGCAACGCGGCAATGGCACCACGTGAAGATATAGAATCCAAGGCACTGCGACGCAAATCAAATCAGCGCAGCAAACAGCAAGCAACACAAAGCATCTCACAATAAGGCCCATCGAAGATCCACGCAAATAAAAAAGACAACGCAGTATACAAGAATGTACAATACAACGCAATGAACTTACACGCAAATGAAAGCAAAGCAGCGCAAGGCAACAAAATGGATGTATGCGCAAAGGGAAGCAATACGACATCACCAAAGTAAGCACAAATAATTGCCGAACTATGTTGGCGAACCCTGCGTCTGGCTTCGTTTCAGCTTGTTCTAGGCCTCAGTCTGACTGCAATCGTCTGTGTTGTCTGGACACCTCGTTTGGGGTGGTGCTCAGATCATGCTCCGCCTGCCACCACCTGCGAGCCTGCTCCTCTCACTGGTATGAACGTCCGCCACAGCCACGCCGCCCAAAAGGAGGCAAACGGGCCTGAGAGGGCAAGAGCTGGGCCCGGGAGATCCCAGCTGTGAGCATGTGAGCGACGAAAAGAATGGGGTCGTACGCGAGACGGAATAGCGACCTTACGCGGTGGCTTACGCGGGCTGCCAGCGCGGCATTGGAAACAAAGGCGCCTACGCGCAAGCTTACGAAGGAAGCTCACGCGCGAATGCCCGCGCAGTCGAACCCGTCGTGTTCCTTTGCGCATGTTGCTTCTGGACATCTCCCCTGGAAGGCATCGGCCCCCAAAGAGGAGAGCACAAAGCCCGCGGACTCCAGACCCAAATGCCGCCTGCTCTGTCGCTCTCCGGCTCATGTTGCACAAGCCGTGCCTGGTGGCAGCTCCAGCGAACAAGCGACAGAATGGTTCTAACGCCTCGCTGCCAGCCAATCTTTGTGGCAGCACGGGCGAAAGATGCCCTGACCAACGCAGCCATGCACCATGACTGATGCAACACTATCACTGCCCCAACTCTAAAACGGCGCTCGCTGGCCACCCCGTTCGACCCGACTGTCCGACTGTCCAAAGGAAATTGAGCGCAGCAGCGAGGCATCGGCTCTGCGACTATTGCGTCGCAAAACAACTCTAATGAGGGTACAGTGCGTGCCGAGAGCGTACGCTACGCACTTGTTGCGTAGCCAGTCCCCAGTAGCATCGCATGCGCGCCTCTAGGGCTCAAACACTACGAGTTGCCACTAATGCCTGCGTCAATGCTGTTGCCGACCTAGGCCAACCGAGCCTTAAACCAAATAACCTATGCTCTGCTTGCACTAGGTGCCCTCCTGGAAAAAAACAGAAACCTTGGAGGCATGCCCCGCCCGCAATTTTCCGTCAGCGGGGCTACACCTCCTCCCTGGCATCGTCGAGAAGGCTGGCAGTGAATCGCTCCTCCTGCAGAGATGCGACCGCGCTCCCAATATTTGGCTGGCCACGCTGGCAAGCTGGCCACGCTGACTATCTGCAGCAGCACCGAAGCAACTCACAACATGCACGAACTCTTGAAAACACTGAACCACTGGCGGTGGCTGCAGCGCGCTGACGCGACATTCTATGCCGCGCGCAGTGCGGCGCTGACTCCCGCAAACGACAAACTTTCAAACATTGGCCCAGCTACTTCACAAACTGAGGTTGAAAGCGGGATAACTTCTTTGAAGCCGCCCCCTAGGAAAATCGTGGCTCCGTGGTTCGCGTCTTGCGTTGCCCTCGCCAGGGTGTCCCGACGGCTCGCAGCGGTGTCCTGATGACTGGTTGATGGTGGCGCGATAGAGCCCCGATTGTTTGCAGGGTTTCCTGCTGGTGTCCCGAACGCTTTCTGATGGCGTACCAGTGGTATCCTGGCGGTTTGCTGATGATGCTCTGGTGGTGTCCTGCTGTCATGTTTCGGAAACCCCGATGGTGTCCCGATGGATAGTGATGGCGTCCCAGCGGTATTTCGGTCCTGTGTCGATGGTGCCAGAGTTCTTCACGGTGGCTCGTGATAAGGGAACAAACAATGGCATAAACATGCAAGCTCGAATGTCCGCGCGAATTTCTCGGATTGGCGCTGGACGCGCCATGGGCGGCGCTGGAGGCACCGCCAGGGGGCCCCAGTGCTGATCCGAGAAATCTGCTCGGACCTCCATGTTGTCATGTCCATGCCATGGTTTGTTCCCCGAATCATCCATTGGTGTCCCCATAGATGGATGTCGTCCCGAAGGTGTGCCGATGGCGTCGGAATGCGTACCTGTGATGTCCCAAGGGTGCCCCGTGTGGCTCGTCGATGCTTCGCTCCCTCGGAACCCACAGGACAAGACTCACAGACAAACGGCTGGACAACAAAAACTAGTGGCGGGCGGCGACTTAGCGGTCAGAAGGCACTGCGGCTCCGTGGCAGACTAACTGGGGCATAGGAGGCGAACGCTGCGGCGGGCGGGGAGGCCCAGGAGGGGGAGAGACCACACTCAGAGCAAGTAGCACGTGGGCGGGTGCTGGTGGCGAGCAAGTTTGGGCGACAAAGATATTGGAGAGCGCGACGTGTCTGAGCGCTGCGCTAGTCCGCCATCCCCCTGGAACTGGGACCCCCTTCGAAAATTACCCCCTCGCCTCTCGGGAGCCAGGACCCCTCTCCCCCCTCCCCTAGGGGGGGGTGGAGGGAGTTCGACCCCCCCGCTCGCCCCCAAAAGTGCTCCGCGCATCGAAACGCCCAGGGTGTTCCTCAACATTTTGTGAGTTCCAAGCTGTTCGGCCCGAGAAAACTCAAGGAGGGCTAGACAGGGGCCCAAGAGTGCCCCAAGAGAGCCCAGGACAGACCCGAGAGGGCCCCAACGAGGCCCAAAAGGGCCCAGGGAGGGGCCACGTCAATTATGCCCAGCGGCCTGGTACCCACAAGAATGCCATAGATCTGGGATGGGCCTGGCCAGGCTTGACTCGGTGGGCAGCAGAGAGAAGTTCGACAGGCATAAGCTTGTGGAGGTCCGCTCGTGGACTGCCTGGATCGACGCTTTCCTCAGGCAAGCCGCGGAGACAGGGCTCGTCGCGTCGGCTGGATCGGCGCTGGACCCTCCTCCCCCGCCACCCTGGCGCGCGGAGCGCGTCAGGGGCGGCGCCGCCAGGGCTTCCTGCGCCGCGCACACCCTGCATGCCACGGCCGCGAGGCCCAGAGTGTGCCCGTGCTCCCTGGGAGTCCCGCCTCGCGCCCTCGAAGAGTGGCGACTGCATGCCGAGGCCGCCAGGCCCAGAATGTGCCAGTGCTCCCTGGGGATCCCGCCTCGCGTTCTCGAGTGGGGGTCGCTCGAAGCAGAAGGGTCTCGTTCATGCCGACTTTTCCCCTTCGAGCGGAGCTGGCCCCCACTCCTCGCACGCCGCCAGCAGGAGCCCGTTTTCTCATCATTCGCGGTAACGCCCGTGACAACCCCCCCCCCTTGGCCACATCACGATTCGCGCCCGCGCCGTGTGGGAACCAGCCATTCTTAAACTTCCCAGAGAGCGCCAGCGCGAGTCGTGGCGTGACAAGCCCGCCCCCTCCCTCCCCCCCATTCCACAGTCACGCCCGTGATCGCCAGGGGATCAAAAAACGGGCTCTCTGGAGATGCTCATGCCGACTTCTCCTCTTCGCGCGGAGATGGGCCCCCGCTCCTCGCGACGCCGCCGACAGTGCGCCCCGCGGCGAGGGGCAGGCGCCCCACGTCGTGCGCATTCGGCGGGCCGCGCAGCCCGCAGCTTCCGGGCCGCGCAGCCTGCAGCCGCCGCAAGAGCGGAGGCACGCGTCCTCTGCGGCGCCCTCCGATTCGCCGTCGGGCGCACGCCGTTGCTGGCCGGTGCTTCGCCAGGGGGCGGGAAGGAGAGGGATGCATGGAGGACAAGCTAGGTGCGCTCGCGTCATATCTGACGTCCTACCCCTACCTCTCATCCCTTGCCACGGCGTAGGTCTCCTCTCTGTTCGCACACTCGGATGTCGTAGCAAGGCATAGCAGCATAGCATTGCATGACATAGCGTAGTGTTGAAGACCAACGCGTAGCATAACATAGCATGGCGTGGCGACGCCCCCAAATGGGGGGGGGGGCTTCTGCGGCCCAAAAATTAACGAATCGGCACCGAATGTGGAATCGAAGAGGAGGGCCAAGGACGAGGATGGAGCACGAAGAGAAAGGTGGGGAAACCAAGAGGTACCGATACCGCTACTCCCTGGACCTCTCATGGGCTCCGTTCTCATCGGCATCTCGAGGCGAACCCAGCGGTGGCGACCAGAGCCTCCCAGCAGGCCCAAGAAGAAGAAAACGAGGCAATGGCATCGGTATCGGTATCTTTGGGAACGTTTCTGGTATTTCGCATCACTCACGGCCGTTGCCGGCCGCCCTCCCCCCCAGTTAACGTCACGATACGTGCGCGAACCGCGACGTTACCGGCCCTGCCCCTCTCCCCCCACCAGTAACGCCCTCGATCGCCCAGACGTAACAAAACGCCCCTAAAAAAACGCCGACTCACATCCCCATTGTGTCATAACATCGACCCCCGGAAGTCTCGACCCATTTTCCTGGACCGCCTTTTCATCCTGCGTCGCTTCTTGACGACCCCCAGGCCTGGCAAGGGCCCCCAGAAGCCCAAGATACCGAAAAGCACCTCCTCCCGCCGCAGTCTTTTCGTGACCCGAGGGGGCCTGGGGGTATCGGTACCTCCTCCTCCTCCTCCTCCTCCTCCTCCTCCTCCTCCTCCTCCTCCTCCTCCTCCTCCTCCTCCTCCTCCTCTGAAATGGGGAGCGGAGGATGGAGGGCGCGCTGCCGCCCCCCGCCGCGCCACCCCCCCCGCATGCCGCTCCCCGCAGCGCCACCCCCGCCTGCGGCCCGCGCCCGCGCCCCCCGCCTCTGCCGCCCCCCGCCGCGCCCCCCGCCTGCGGCTCCCTGCCGCCCCCCGCCGCGCTCACGGCGAGGCGCGCCTGCCCGCGCGGCGCGGCGCGGAGCCGCGCCCATGAGAGTCGGAGCTGCGGGGGGCGCCGGGCCCTCCGGCAAAACCAGCTAGCTGGGCTGCTGGCGACGAGTTCTGCACCAACACAGCGACATCGGCTTTTCTGTTCGCCAAAGGCTGGTGTTTTCGACCTGGTTTCACACGTGCTCCGGGCGGGGGCGCGGCCCGCGCCCCCGCCCAGAGCACGGCGGCGCGCCTGGAGCTCCAGCGAGGTGACGTGTTCCATCCTGGAGCGTTGACTCGACTTCGACCCCGTCGGGGATCTACTGGCCCAGGCGGATCCAGCCCCGGGCCAGTCAGACCTTGCAGGATCCTGCAGGATCCTGCACACCAACCCGGGTCGGTGCGCCCCTGGCCCTGCAGGCTCCTGCAAGATCCAGCGCCCCGGCTGACCCCCGTTTGCATTGACCCCCGTCTCGTGAGCCCCGACCTCCATCTCTACAGGCTCCATAGGTGTGGTCCGACGAGCAGACGGGGTCGGAGAATTGCACCGCATCACCGATGCATCGACGACGTCGGCGAGGAGGAAATCGAGCTCCGCACCGAGCCGCATCGAGTTCGGCATCCACTTGTTCGGCCTCGACTGCGGGCCATTCCTTTCAACCGATGTGAAGGGTTCCTCGATCTCGGCCTCCAGGACCCGTCATCGGGCCATGGAACCATCACAAATTGACCCAGGGGGAAAAACCAGCTACCCCTGGGAAACCAGGACCATCAACAATTGATCTAGAAACTATGTCTGGAAAAGGGGTTGGGGCCTCCAGGGCTGCGGATCCCAGATCGATCCGACGTTGCGAAACAGTTGCAGCTTCGCGAAAAATCACGCCCAGAGCCCCGGACCCCATCTCTCTGCATCATTTTCCAAGCCAGATCGGTTCGTGAGGGTCCTGGAGCCCGAGCCTGGATAAAAACGCCCGTTGTGAAAAAATTGCAGCGCCAGGATCTCAGGGATTGAGAAGGCCACATAGGAGAGTGTTTGGGCGTCCCTCGAGCCCTCGCGAAGCCCACGGAGCAACTGACCGCCCCGCGCGGAGAGCGTCTTTCTACGATTCGCCAGAACGGCCGTTACCGGGGATGCTTCCCCCCTTCCCCCCCCCCCTGGTTACCTCACGGTTCGCGCCGGCGCCGTTGTGAAATCGGCTCTTGGGGCAGCTGACTCCCAGACAGCGCTGGCGCGAATCGTGACTTTGCCAACCTCCTCGCCCCCCTCCCTGACTGACAGGCCTAGAGGTTGACACCAACACCAATATCGGCTGTTTGCCTCCACCGAGGGAAGAGGATCCCGATCTCGGTGATAGTGGTAATATTCTGGCTGCCGAGGTGACCGACATACTACCACCAACACCGACATCGAGGGTCATCTCCCCCCTTTGGAGGCAGCCCCCTCGAGTTGGTGTTGATGCCCGTCTCCGGGCCTCCAACTCCCCCCTCCCCCCCCCACTGGCACAGGCCGTTCTCGCCGAGAGAAGAGCGGGCCCGCGCTCACAGCGCGACGATTTGTCCGCCGCGCGGCAGCAGCAGCGCCGCCTCCAGGGTGACCGGCACTGCGGGCGGCGCCGGGCTCGCGTGCACCAGCAGCTCCTCGGGCAGCAGCGGCGGTGCGACGCAGGCGGCGGCGCTGGCTGCGTCGGCGTCGTCGGCGCTGCGGCGACGCTCCGAGGCGCTCCGCCTGCGAGCGGCGCTCGTCGCCGAGCCCACCGCGGTGGCCTCGGCGGTGCCGGGGTCCGGGCCGCCGGGCGACCCCGTCGGCACGGCTGGTGCTTCGGCGGCGCTGGCCGAGCCCACGCTCGCCAGGCTGGGAGCGCCCGCGGGCGGCCGGCCGTCCTCGAAGCGGACCGAGAGCTGCTTGTCGGACCTGGCGCTGGGCCTCGACAGAGCGCTCTGCACGTCGAAGCGCGGGATCTCCAGGTCGTTGCCCTGCCTCGCGGGCTGCCGCTGCCGCCGATGCCTGCGCAAGACCTGGCACAGGGCCAAAGATCCGCACACGAGGACAACTGCCGATGACACGACAATGCCGACAATAATTTCAGGTGCATCCTCCTCGGAATTATCAGCGTTCCCTCCCTCGGGCAAGGCGGCGCCCGGATCTTCGATAATGATTGATGTGACTCCCGTTACAGTGACCACGTACACCTCCCCCCCGACCTGCGCGTCAAGGTTCGCCTGCAGTAGAGACGTGAAAGAATTGACATCCACGCTATCCAGGGATGCCTGCGTGGCGGCAATATCTGGGATGTCGGCTGGGACATCCGCGGGCACAGAAATGCTGTACTCTACAACGAGGACCGCGGTGGATAGACCACGCGAGGCGGCCATGAGCCGTCGAAGCTTTGCGAACCAGGTGGTGACATATCTTGCGGGCGTCCCCGTCACCTGAGCGATCGTCAAGCCGACCGAGGTCAGCAACTTCCCTGCATCTGGGCCGTTCCGAACCGCCACTGGGTCGATGCCTGTTATTTCGATCGACCCAGTGATTTGAGGCGGTGCCAGAGTGCTCGCAGTGGACAACGTAGTGCTGTCCTGAATAGTAGTCGTGGTGGTCCGCGTGGTACTGACCTCCGTGGTCCATGTCAGCGTACCAGAACTCACAAAGCTTTCGGATGCGTTTGTAGAGGTGCTCGTCCCTGCAGTGCTGGTTTCGAATGGTCCCGTCATGGTGGTAGTATTTGTGAGCGAGGTGGACGTCAGGGTGGTCGTGCTCGTGACTGAAGTGGATGTCAGGGTGATAGTGCTTGTCATAGTGCTGGTGTCGGAAGTGCTCGCCATGGTGGCAGTACTTGTGAACGAGGTGGACGTCAGGGAGGTCGTGCTCGTGACTGAAGTGGATGTCAGGGTAATAGTGCTTGTCATAGTGCTGGTGTCGGAAGTGCTCGTCATGGTGGTAGTGCTTGTAAAAGAGGTGGACGAGGCTGAAGCGGGCGTCAGGGTGATTGTGCTTGTGTGGGTTGTGCTGGTGCCGGATGTGCGCGTCATGGTGGTAGTACTTGTGACCGACGAAGATGTTAGAGTGGTTGTGCTCGTGTCTGAGGTGGACGTCAGGGTGATGGTGCTCGTCTGGCTTCCGCTCGTGAGTGTACTAGAGTTGTTGAATGGATCCCACACGCTTGCCAGTGAACCTCCTCTCGTGGGCCCATGGAGGCGCTTAGCGCCTGCATGTAGTACATACTCAGCCACGGCTGCCTGAGTACCAGCGAGGAGCGCGAAGGTCATCCAAGCTCGAAGCAGCGCCATTTCTCATTGCTGCTGATCACCTTGCTTCTAGACATGCCTCTGGCAGAGCCAAAAAATGTCTACTGTTTGTTGGCAACTCGGGACAATTCAGTGAAGCGTAAACAATGGCACACCTTTTTGTTGATTGGAGGGGCGCGTTGGGGCCAATGGCTTCCATGGGCCTCGCGCTCCGACTCCCCAACTCTTAACGCTGAGCACCCGCTGGACATCAATATGTCGTATCACTCCTAACATCACCCTTACCCTCGCTCGCAGATTGACCGACCTTACACATCCACGTCTTCAATCAAAGCATCATCCTGATTCGCATCGTCACAACTCGCGTGCTCACCCCAGTCACAACACTCCGCCCTCACCGTCACCACTCTCATCCTCACCCTTACTCACTCCGAGCGGCTTTCGGTAATTACCTTCAGAAGGTGGTGTAAAACACATGGAAGAATACTTGGGCAATGGAGGCGGGGGATCCCGCCTGAGGTTGGAAGCCAAGCGGCGATCGGAACACCAAATAAAAATAACTCGCAATTTACCCCTCCCCCTCCTCGCTGTCCAAGCTGTCATTCGCACCTCCTCATCCTCCATCTCCTAGACCTCATCCCACGCCCGTCCTCCGAGGTCGCCCTGCTGGTCCGTTCCTCTCCCTGGTCGCCACTCCATCCTCACCCACCTCTCCTTAGAACTTAGATCTTGACAATATCAAAGTTTGGGGGGGGTGAGATCGTAGTGAAGCCGAGCCACCAAATCGAAATCCACTGGTTTCGCCTTCGATGCATCTCGTGCGGCCGCGCGAGGAGAAGCAGCGCGAATTCCTGCACCAGCTGGTCCCTGGTCACACCAACATGTGCTGCTTCCCAGGGCGCCGCGGCACGCCAGGGGTTGTCCCGCGGCTGTCCCGCGGTTGGTCCGACGATTGTGCTGCTGGTTGTCCCGACGGTTGCATCGATGGTTGTCCAGCTGGTTGTCCTACTGGTTGTCCCGATGGTGTCCCGATGGTTCACCCGATGGTTGACCCGGTGGTTGTCCCGATGGCTGTCCCAATGGTTGTCCCTATGGCTGTCCCAATGATTGTCCCCATGGTTGTCCCGATGGTTGTCCCGACGGTTGCGCTGATGGTAGTTCCGATGGTCGTCCCTGTGGGTGTCCCGGTGGTTGTCCAGATTGTCTGTCCCGATGATTGTCCCGATGGTTGTCCTGATGGTTGTCCTAATGGTTGTCCCGATGGCTGTCCCGATGGTCGTCCGATAATTGTCCCGTGGTTGTTCCGTGGCTGTTCCGTGGCTGTCCCTTGTCTCGCAGCTGTTCTGACATTGTTCCGTGGTTGTCCCGTGGTTGCCTCGTGGTTGTCCCGTGGTGGTCCCCTGGACGTGCCATTGTTCTCCCGGGATTGTGCTGTGGTTGAATCCGTTGTTGGTCCATGGTTGTCCCGTCGTTGTCCTGTGGTTGTCGTTGCCCTGTGGTTGTCCTGTGGTTGTCCTGTGGTTGTGCCGTGGTTGTCCTGTGGTTGTCCTGTGGTTGTTCCCTACCTAGGCTCTGCCTAGAAGGGTTCTTACTCTCTGTCTTAAAGGGGCCGGGCAGTGCACACCGCCCCGGGCGGTTCCCCCAGTATCCGCCCCGCGGTTCCCCCAGTTACGTCCCCTTACCTTAGCGTTGTTTATCTCATCTTAGCTTAGCTTATTTCATCTTAGCTTAGCTTAGCTTCATCTTAGCTCAGGTTTATCTTAGCTTAGCGCAGCATAGCATAGCATAGCATAGCATACCAGTAGCATAGCGCAGCACAGCACAGCACAGCATAGCACAGCGCAGCATAGCATAGCATAGCATAGCAGAGCAGAGCAGAGCATAGCAGCAAAGCAAAGGCAAAGCAACAGCAGCGACAGCAAAGCAAAGCACAAGCAACGCAAAGCAAAGCAAAAGCAAAGCAAAGCAAAGGAAAGGCAAAGCAAAAGCCATGTGCGACAGATGCCGAGCTAGCCTCGATGGCCGGACCGGAGCCCCCGCAAGCAGTGCCTTCCGTAACCATAGCATAGCATAGCATAGCATAGCATAGCGCAGCATAGCATAGCATAGCATAGCATAGCATAGCATAGCATAGCGCAGCATAGCATGGCATGGCATAGCATAGCATAGCATAGCAACTAATGCTGCTTTCTTAGGGGTTCCAACTTCTAGGTAGGGTCGCACTGGGGTAATCCAAATGTTGTTCAGTTGTTGTCCCGTCGTTATTTCGCTGTTCGTGCTCAGTTGTCCCGTGGATGTCCCGCGGTTGTCACGCGGTTGTACTGTGGATGTCCGGCGGCTCTCCCAAGATTGGTTCGCGCTTGCTCCTCGGTTGTCCCGTGGTTGTCGCGCGATTATCCCGCGGTTGCCCCGCAATTGTCCAGTCAACATTGCGTGGTTGTCCCGTGATTGTCCCGTGGTCATTCCCTGGTCATTCCGTGAATGTTCCGCGATTCTCTCCGGGTTGCCCGATGGTTGTCCCGGTGGTTGTTCCATGGTTGTCCCGTGATTGCCCCGATGTTGTCATGTCTTTGCTCTGTGGTTGCCGCGTTGGTGTCCCGTGGTTGCCCTGTAGTTTTCCCGTGGTTGTCTGTCTACACACGGTAAGACCGACCGAAAGTGAATCCAATACGTGAAACATGAGATCGTAAGATATATTCACAGGAAGGTCTGCATATATAACGACATCGGAAAAGCATGTTAGCCAGCGTGGAGCCCAAACGGTGACGCATTACACAGTGGAGGTGGTAGCTATGCGGTACAAGCTATGTGGTGTAAGCTATGTGGTGTGAACGCTGGAGGGAAATCTATGCGGTGTATGCAATGTTATATGAGTTACGCCGAGCAATATGTGTGGTGTGGACTGGAGGTGGAAGCTAGGCGGTGCAAGCAAAGTTGTGTAAGCAATGCTGTGCAAGTTACGCAGCGTAAGCTTTGCGGTGCAAGCGATGTCCTGCAAGCGACGTGCTGTTAAGTTCACTCCACGGGGCGCCCACGAGAGCCAACGAGGCCGCTCGGGCATCAGCGTAGCGCAACCTCGGCGGACCCACCCAGCGCAAGGGGGCTCCCACGAGCGCCCACGACGCAGCACGAGCGCCCACGAGGCGGCACGGGCGGCAGCGTGGCGCAACCTCGGCGGACCCAGGCAGCGCACGGGGCGCCCGCGAGCGCCCACGCGGCGGCACAGACAGCAAGGTTGCGCAACCTCGGCGAACCATCCAGCGCACGCGGCGACCACCAATTTCAACAAGGCGGCACGGGGCGGCAACGTGCAAAATCCTCGCGTACCCGTCCCATTGAACCCCTAAGTGCAAGCACTGCTTGGGAATCTGATACGTGTGTGCCACTCTCTCTCTCGCACATTATATATACATATATATATATATATGTATGTATCTATATATATATATAGACTCTGCCACATAGCGGGCCGATGGCCATATTTGGGTCTTTCCATCCCGCGCACTGGAAAGCGATACAAAATCTGGACGGGATTGAAAAGCGTGGCGGGAATGGGACTGGTCCCGCATTCTGCGCGCAAGGGCGAAAGGCCGCTCTCGCCTCGGCGCCGCACCAACTCTTCTTGAGAGCTGAGCTCCCGCTTCGGGCGCCGCGCACGTTTTTCGCTCGCCACTTCATCGACACCGCAGTCGCGCGCGAGCGGACGAAAATTCCAGTCTCGCCTCGGCGCCGTGCAGATTTCACCTGGAAGTGGCGTTCCTGCCCTGGCGCGGCGTTTACTTTCACTCCCCGAGCCGTTGGTGGGCGGGGCCACGCGCGAGCCGGCGCCTTGCTGCCTCGCCCCAAGCTCCGTGCTGAGTTGCCGCCCGAGCGCCAGCTGGCAGAGGACGACCGACGCTCGCGCATCCCACTGCCCAGGGGTTGCCGCCCCGCCCCCCCCCCGGGCGACGGGGCGAGGGGAGGAGGAGGGGGAGGAGGAGGAGGAGGAGGAGGAGGAGGAGGAGGAGGAGGAGGAGAAGGAGGAGGAGGAGGAGGAGGAGAAGGAGGGCGGGGGGGCGGGGAGGGCTGCTGGAGCAAGGGGCGGTGATCCCTGCTTCTCGGGGGGCAGTGTTAGGGGCGGATCGGCTCAGGGGGGGGACAACGACCTGGAACCGGCGATACCTCACCGACAGATCGGCGATGGGCCCCCGGCAGCGGCTCCGCACGCGCCGAGGCTCTCCAGAAGGTGCTTCGAAGCTCTCTCGAAGCTCCTTGGAAGCTTGCTTCCAGAAGCTTGCAAGCTCCCCAGGCATGGTTTCCGGCGCCCTGGCAAGCGCCTCCCACAAGCATTTTCCAAGCTTGCCAGCTCCCCAGGCATGCTTTTTGTTCCCGCATAGATCGCAGAGAGCTAAGAGGGTTTCAGATTAAGAAGCCGGAGGCGCAGGGTAGCCTCGGAGGTCGTTCCAGCTTCCGGCAGAACACCTCGGCGCGCCTTGCTTGACCCTTGAGTATGTCCCGAGAGACCTTTTTCTAAACGTTTCCCAATACGCTCGCCTGGAAGCTCTCCAGAAGGTCCTTCGGAAGCTCTCTCCAGGTCCTTCGGGAGTTCTTCGCCAGGCCTCTCCACGCCCTTCGGGCGCCCTGCTATCCTGGTTTTTCCCGGATAGCTCGCAGAGAGCTAAGAGGGTTTCAGATAAAGTTGCTGGAGCCGCAGGGTAGCCCTGCAGATCGTTCTGGCGGCGGTCCAGGCTCCCCGGCGCAGGCTGTGTGAAATTGTGGCAGTGGTTTTCCGGTCGCAACTCGGGCCTGAAGCGGCCGTTCGGGACGATTGGAGCACCCCTGGAACTTCCTCGGCAGGGCGCAGAAGCTGGAGGAAGGCATACTGCGGCTGGGAGACCGCTGGGAACTGACGAAAACGCCCAAAACCTCGAACCTCAATTCCGAGAAAGCCATCCCCCCCTGAGCCTGTCCCTCCGCCTGGCGTTGCCCCTGCGGCTTCTCCCTTGAGCGGCTGGCTGAGACCCCCGCTGGCCCCTCATCGCCCGCCCTGGCCGCGCCTGCATCAGCACGGTCGCGTCGGCGGGCAGCCCCGCGTCGCTGGGCACCTGGGCGTTGGCCGCCAGCCGC